GAATACGCCTGATCCGGGTACAAATCATCAAGCTTACGCTTTTTGTTTTTGTTTGAATCTAACGAACCTTCAAGTTGCATTAAGTTTTGAGCAACTCCTACTTTTATATCAATTTGCTTCGCTTCAGTAACGCAGATGATTTCTTCAAACCCACTACCTGTTAATTGCGGATAAATTTTCTTTATTGCATAATCTACCCTGCCGGCAGATACATCTCCAATAATCTCAAACTGTGAACGAAGGATGGTGTTTGGAACTGAATTTACTGCCGAGACTAATACTGACGTAATAAAGTGGCTTCGCTGTGCTTCGTTCTGATCACCCACATTACAACCTGGCCTATAATATTGAATCAATACATTCAACATATACACAACGGTGTGAAGAAAATATTGTAACTCGAACCTTTATTTCCTTTACACAATCTTCAAATACTCCCTTATAATTTTCTTCATTTTCACAATTAGGAAAAAACACTGGTATACTACGCACTTCGTCATTGTCGATTCCATGTTTTTGGAGAACCTCTCGCAAATTTTTATAACTGGAAAAGCACTTCTTATCTAATGTAACGATTAATTCGATATTTTCTTTCATCTTGAATATAGATCTCACGGTAGTATCATTGCTTAAAATGGATTTATTGTATTTGATCACAATTTCGTCGTGTGTCGTCGCTGGAAACTTAAACTCTTTTTGTGCATGTTCTTGCAATAGTTTCAAAGTTAGTTCTGTCAGCGAATAATATGTTATCGATACTATACGATCTCTCCTGTTGCACTCTACTGTTTCGTTTTCTTTTACTCGATATTTGAAAGTGACATTGCAAATCTTTGGTCCTGAAATTCACATGCGTTTAGTAAACGTACGGTTACAATTTTTAAGCTATTCTATGACATCTTCGCATGAATACTTACTCAATTCCTCAGATAATTTTTTGATACTTTTTGCCGGCCATACTTGCAATCCACAATCTCGAAGATCTTCAATGCTACAGTTAAGGAGGCCTGGACCAGTTAATTTACTTGTTCTAATTGCCTTGATATCGTCATTATCAAGAAAAAGCTCTTTTCTAGACTCCAGAAAATTAATAACAGCACTCGTGCCCCACTCATTAATTTCTTTAGGCGAAAGAAGGGGATTATTGTCAGACATGGCTTTAAAAATTTTTTTAGTGGGAAATAACGATAATCGTACCTTTTTATAGTTTATACAAACAGTCAGATTGTCATACAACAGGTCACGTATTGTTACACGATAAAATAACAATACTGATATCGAAATAAATCACAAAAGTGGGTCCCTTGCTTATCCAAGTGTATGGAAACAAACTATTTATTCCTGAAGAGGTGTGACTTTGATGTCACAATAAGGTTACATAAATTCTGCTTAATTATCATTACAGAATTGATCGTGATGGAAATTTATTTTTATTTATTAATTATTCGAGGGTATAATAAATGAGTCAGGAACTTGAAACTATTGTGAAATAGTGAAGCTTTTACTTATATAGTTTATCCTATCTGCTACCTTTTTGCATGTTTTGCAATACAGGTGTGAATGATGATTGCATTCATCACAAACCTTACACCCACGCTTCCATCCTCTAAAGATATGCCACTTTTCGATATAATTTTGTTTGTTTTTATTTGTAAATATATTATTCTGATTTTTC